ATGTTAGGCCTGAGTTTCTATTCCCTTGAAGACCTCATATATGCTTCTCCCAGATGGTTCCACAGCCCAATGCCCTGTGATATAGCAAAGCTGCCAACATTTGAGAAAGAACTCTCTGACAGCAATCACACCTAGTGAGCTTTTCATCTCTTAGAATCAATAGCCCCTTTAAAGTTCTCATGAAGGCCACAGACCTGAGCTCTCCATCCTTGTAGAACTAGTCACTCATGACTAGTCAAGTTTGAAACTAAACCAACTAAAATTAAGTTAATGTGATTAGTGGCTCCTACACTGGATTGGGCAGACATAAAACATCTTCATTGTCACAGAAAGTTAACTGGACAGCTCTACATGTATCCCTTTTGTCCAGAATAATGGAAATTTGCACTCACATAAAAGTGCTTTCAGGCAATTTTAGATGATTTACAAACCCTCCCCTTCCAATGCCATCTATAACTCCCAAGTCATTGTTTAGAACCTCCTGTCTAGGGCTGGAGAGATTGCTTAGTGGTTAAGAACATTGGCTGCTCTTGCAGAGGACCCAGGTTTGATTCCCCGCACCTACATGACAGCTAATAATGGTCCTTAAGTCCAGTTCCAGGGTACCTGATGCCCTCTTCTGATCTCTGCGGGCATTGCATGACATGGGTGTGGCAATACATTTACACACATAAAATAAAAATAATAAATAAAAAAATATAAAAATAAGCTGAGCATGGTGGTGCACACCTTTAATCCCAGCAATCAGGAGGCAGAGGCAGGCAGATCTCTGTGAGTTCAAGGCCAGTCTGGTCTACACGATGAATTCCAGGCCACCTGGAATAGACCAAAAAAAAAAAAGGTCTAATATGGGCAGGAGCAAAAGATCATCCTGAGCTCTACAGAGAAGAGGAACAGGCATCCCAGCTCAGATGTCACTTATACTTTTTTTAACACAAATTATTGAGTACAAACAATTTTAAGAATAGGGTTGAAGAGATGGCTCAGCAGTCAAGAGCACTGGTTGCTCTTTGCAGAGGACCAGAGTGTGAATCCCAGCATCCACAGTGGCTAACAACCATAGTTAGCTCCAGTTCTAGAAGCTCTGACACCCTCTTCTGGCCTTCATGGGCACTACACAACAGGGATGCTCTTACACACACACAGGCAATACACTCATAAAATAAAAATAAATAAAATTTTAAAGATTTTTAGGAAGTTTAAGAAGAGTTCAAGAAGTTACCTGAGAGTTTAAGAAACAACCTGGCCTTTGGTTAAATTTTCCAGCTCATTCTGTTCTATCATTTACCCAATACTTACTGAGGTCCTGCTTTGTGGTCACATTGACCTAACCAAGAGTATACACATGTGAAAATAACTTCAAAGATCTCTGCCCTAAAGGAACTTATTTTCCTAGAAAAGACACTAAAAACCAGGTAATGTTGCCAATGTACAGACCTGATTCTCTTTGATAAACTTCAGATTTATTTCTCTAAACTTGAACATGTCAGTGTCTGGCTTAAACTCTTCAGTGACATCCTTCTTGGCTAGCTAGAGAGTTCATTTAGATTGTCTATGGAATACACACACATAAATACTGAATTTTTCAACAATCCACAAATTTAACTAAAACTTGACCACTCTCCAATGCCAAGGCCATAATCTACCATTCTCATAAGATAATTTAATTTATACTTAAGTGATTCTGTTTATAATTCCCTCACTTTTAAGATAAACTTAAGGTATTTTGTGCCCTAATCTCCAGATTGACTTTTATTTTTTGTTTTTGTTTTTTTTAAGTGAAAGAATAGGAAAGTTCACCGAAGGTGAAATTTCTAAAGTTTATTTCAAGTTATTTCCCTTATATGATTATTGCATGGGCAATCCCAGGTCTGGTTTTTAATTTCTCACTCCACTTAGAACTTCCCCAGTGCTTGACAAAATTTTATGGTGTTTTACTCAACTTGTCAGTCACATAACAGCTCTTTTTCTTCAAGGATTACATTTGGCCCAGTCCTAAGTTAGGATGACATTTGCTCTTCTAATATAATTTAAGTTTCAAATTGCCTTAGCTAAACACATACACATAACCAGGCATGAGGGCATATGTGTGGCAAGGCGGAGGCAGGAAGATCAAAACTTCAGGGTCATCTTCAGCTTTGTATGGAGTTCTGGGCCAGCCTGGGTTACCTGAGACTCTGTCTCAAAAACAAATTAATTAATTTTAAAATACACACACATAAGAAGTAATGCCATTTTATCCAAATTTTTTATTTCACCATGTTTGCCAGCTTCCCGAAAGGTTGCTTGAAGTCAATAGTTGTTTAATTTCTAAGAGTTCAGGTTATATCTTTTCTTCCCTTGTCTGCCTTTCTTTTCTCTTTCTCTTAAATCCCACACACAGATGCCATCTTCTTTTACTTGCTAGCTCCAGTCCACAAGTCAATTGGACGGCTTTGAGAGAACTCTGACAAGAGAAGTGCAGCTTTTCATAACTCTCTTGTCCCTTTACTAGATTTAACCATAAGGAGTTTTCTTTCTTTTTTAATGGAGAAAATTTACTGATTTTGGCATGTGTCTTTAAAAGACAAGAACATTTAATAAACATAAGCACATTGTCATTACATCATAAAAGAAACAATGATTTGGTAACAGCAAACACTGAGACAAGACAGTGTTCTGACTTCCAGTGGTTTTGTAAAGTCAAATGCTATTGGTTTTCAAATCAACATCTAAATAAGTTCTGTACTTTGTGATTGGTCAATATGTATCTAAGTATCTTTTAATGTATGCTTTGTCTTCCATCTCTTTATTTCCTTGCTATCTATTTTAAAAATCGAGTTATTTCTCTGGAATCCTTGTGGTATAACTATTCATTAAACCCGTGATTTCACTCTAGGCATGTTTATCTTCTTTTCCCCTTTGGGGTTTCTCACTTTGTAGCCCAGGATGGCTTCAGACTGCTAGAGATCCTCCTGCCTCACTCTCCCCAGTACTGAGATTACAGGTACCAGCAACCAAACCTATGCATAGTTTGTCATGTTTATCTTTATATTTTAAGACATCAGGGCTGGAGAGATGGCTCAGCAGTTAAGAACACTGGTTGTTCTTGTAGAAGACCTGGGTTTGAATCCTAGCACCCACATGGCAGCTAACAACTGTCCGAAATTCCAGTCCCAGGGGATCCAACAGCCTCTTCTGACCTCTGCACGCATTGCACGACACGGGTGCACTTACCTACATGCAGGCAATACATGCATACACATAAAATAAAAATAAATAAAAAATTTTAAAAAGACATCAAGTGATTTGAATATATTAAGACAAATATCCCATGCTCTTTTGTGGAAGAAACACTTCAGATAATTCTCCCAAACCACTCTTTTAATTAGTGCATCTTTCCAGTTAAGTAACTGTCTTCATTTTTTAAGAGAAAGTACAGCTAAGGGAAAAAAAAAAAAAAAAAAAAACCTTTGAAGTTTATTTCCTCTAGATAGCCATTAGAGGGCGATATTTTCTTTGTTATAGTTCGCCTAATGAGCAGTAAATCCATCAGACCTGTTTTCGTATTTTCTGACAAGTTGAACAGCATTAACTAATTGGACATCTATCTAATCGTACCTCTATAAGAAGTGACCATGTCCCCTTTGTTAATTTGTGCTTTGCACTTTACGTCCATCTTTGACTTTGTTCCCAATTCTAACCATTGGGCGGCAACGTCGTATAAAGGTCCATCGAAAGGAAAAATTAAAACTGCCAAATAAAAAGCCGTTTCACGGGGAAAGGGATCATTAATTTAAGGAAGGAGACAAACCAGACATTTCTAGTTCGTATCCAACTCACGGCCCAAGGTCATAACTGTAAAGCACCACACAAAGGAGCCATTCAAGAGCCGGGGAGGCAGACTTGGAGGGACCGTGTGCACAATCCGCGCTTTGATTTTACAGAGCTGCTAGAGGCGGCCGTTGCACGTTTGTGCACGTGTGTGTGAATAGTTATGAGGCAGGACATGCGTGAGCTGGGCGTGGATCTGTGCAATCAATAGCTCTTTAGCGAGCCGCAAAATCAAACACCGGGTAGGCTACAGCGCTACTTTGAAGGTCAGCCGTTCCCATCACACCGGAGAAACTGAGTCTTGAGAGGCAGAAGGCGGGCCTAGACGCACCTCTCACCAGCTTGTCCTCAGTTAAGAGTCGAACACCTGCATGCAGTCGGGCGTTCAAGCGCAGGGTCCGTACTTCTCACCTTCTCTTCTTCCAGTAATGACCTTCCGAAACACGCGCTCCCTCCCACCACAGACAAAAAGGATCCACATTTTTGCAACTGGTATAACTATACAGAGGTAACAGGGAAGGCGTGAATTCTTTTGAGAAATGGGCAGGTTAAAACGCTCCAAGAATTGCCTTGGAGAACTGGGTGCGAATCTCCGGGGGAAGAGGGGACGGTGATCACGGGCGGGGTCATTTTCAGATCCCAGCTTAAATTCTGTTTCGGTTCCAGCCTAACGGCAATGTAAACAAAACCAGACAGATTTGAGAAGCAAGGGAGTCCCTCTTCCCTCCAAACTCAAATAGCGTTCCGTCTCAGAAAACAGGAGGGGCTCGGCAGAAAGTCTAGGAGAAAGGGGAAGCGCCCCGATGGATCTGGAGGCTGTTTTCTGCCAACGTCCAAAAGTGGCAAGAAAGAGACAACGCAGAGCGTCTTTTCCTTCGGCTTCTCTTTAAATCCTCACTCCAGCCTGATGTTTTGACTCCCCACTTTCGGGATCTCTTCCCCTCATTTCTCGCAGCCCAGCCGCTGCCCACCCCCCCGCCCCCATCCGTAGCCTTCAGCTCTGCCTCCCCGGCAGCGGAGGTTTCGCCCCCAGCGGAGTCAAATCTGCATAGTACCCGCCCCTCCCGGGAATCATTGGCGCAGCCCCAGCCCGGTGCGGTCTGTGATTGGTGAGCCGTCAGGGTATATTTGCATACGGGCCTCTCGGGGGAACCCAGCTGTGCGGGTAGCGTGCGCGGCGCAGAAGTTTGCCGAGCGTTTCCTTGCCGGCTGGTCCCGAGACGGAACGCTGCGCCCTGCGCCCGCCAGCGCCTCCTTCTTCGGTCGCCGCCCTGTTCTCTCGGGATTCCTTCTCCACGGAGACAGACGCTCGGTGAGGGGGCTGTGGTGGACGAAGGGGAGTTCGGAAGAGACGGACCCGGGAGCCCTCTCGCTCGCTGACAGCTTCGCGTCGAGACGCGGGCGGCGCGGGGCTCCAGATCGCTGCGAGTCTCACCCACCTTCTCGCGGCCGCCGCGCGGGCGATGCGGCCACCCCGAGCCACGGCGCCGCGAGGACGGAGGACCCCCGGGAGAGCCTAGAGCTGCTTTCTGCCCACCCGGGGAAGCGGGCATGGAGTGGTGAGCTCCCCTCGCTCGGCGAGGCCGCCCGCGGCAGGCTCCCCATGGCCGGGACGTACAGCTCCACTCTGAAGACGCTGGAGGATTTGACCTTGGACTCCGGGTATGGGGCCGGGGACTCGTGCCGCTCGCTCAGCCTCTCCTCGTCCAAGTCCAACTCGCAAGCGCTCAACTCTTCGGCGCAGCAGCACCGCGGGGCGGCTTGGTGGTGCTACTCGGGCTCCATGAACAGCCGCCACAACAGCTGGGACACGGTGAACACGGTGCTGCCGGAGGATCCCGAAGTGGCCGATCTCTTCTCGCGCTGCCCGCGACTCCCGGAGCTGGAGGAGTTTCCCTGGACCGAGGGAGATGTAGCCCGGGTGCTCCGCAAAAGTATCGGCGGCCGGAGGCTGCCCGGGTTCTCCGCCGAGGCGGTGAGGCGTCTGGCGGGGCTGCTCCGCCGGGCGCTCATCCGCGTGGCCCGCGAGGCGCAGCGCCTGAGCGTGCTGCACGCCAAGTGCACCCGCTTCGAGGTGCAGAGCGCTGTGCGCCTGGTGCACAGCTGGGCGCTGGCCGAGAGCTGCGCGCTGGCGGCGGTCAAGGCGTTGTCTCTGTACAGCATGAGCGCGGGCGACGGACTACGCCGGGGCAAGTCGGCGCGCTGCGGCCTCACCTTCTCGGTGGGCCGCTTCTTCCGTTGGATGGTGGACACTCGCATCTCGGTGCGCATCCATGAGTACGCGGCCATCTCGCTTACCGCCTGCATGGAGAACCTTGTGGAGGAGATCCGAGCCAGGGTGCTGGCAAGCCAGAGCCCCGACGGCGGAGGGGCAGGAGGCGGGGAGGTATCCGCTGAGGCCTTGGAGATGGTGATCAACAATGACTCGGAGCTCTGGGGAGTCTTGCAACCCTATGAGCATCTCATCTGCGGCAAGAACGCCAATGGTAAGCAGGCAGGCCTCCACCCACGGACTGGGAGGGTTACCCCAGGAGTGGATTTCCTAGGACGAAGCTGTGGAGAGTGCCAGGTCTCAGAGAAATGGAATTCTGGGAGAATTTGGCTCTTGCCAAAGATTGTTTTATGTGTCTGGTTTGTGGAGGAACAAGTCGCTGTTAGTCTCCTAGGGACTGTTTACTGGGTGACTGGACACCTGGAGCAAGCCATTCCTGAACTACTCGCTAAAGTGTAGCTTAGTGGACTGCAGCTATCTGTCTTGCTGAATTGGGTCTAGTCCAGTTTGGGCTCCACAGTAGGGCACGTTGACTGTGGTTCTTCCCTGGGAGTTTTCAGCCGCCCAAGGGTCTGCACTCTTGACACCTGAGCCCTGAATAAATGGGATGGGTAGAGAGGAGTGGATAGACCAGGATTTGGTGCTGCACCCTGGGCTGAATGATGCCCAGAGTCAAGCTTCCCACAGGAGGTGGAGGGATAGCTGCCAGCTCTTAATACTATGTGCCCAGGGGTGATGGAAACAGAGGACTCCTGAATCCCCTTCCCAGAAAGGCAGCCTCATGCTGATTTTCCAGCTGTCACTAACCAAATAAGCAACTGATTTAAACCTCATGTTGAATTAAACACATGACCTTTTGGGCTTTCCTGAAAAGAAAGATGACTGGCTCAGTAAACTACATTATGGGGATAGGGTGTGGGGAATGGACAACTGCCTGGTGTCAAGACTGGGAAATGAAACATTGGGTAGCTGATGGCATGGTTTCAGTGCCAAGGATGAAAGCAAAGTACTTGACCTTCTGTGGTAAGGTTAGGACTTGACATGCATTCAACAACAAACTACCTATCAGACTCCAGTTTCAGGTCTTGGCACCATAAATGATTTAGAATGGAAAGTCTTGAAATCTCATTGGAAGGGCCATTTTGGGCACAGGTTTCAGTCGCAAATAAGCAGGCAGTGGAAGAGGATAAAGGAGCCAAATTCAAATGTGGTCTAACAAACTCATGATAGCTAAAATTGAAAATACTTCATGCACTTGTGGCTGTTCTTAGCACTTTATGTATGTTAGCAACTTTTATATATACTAGGAACCTTTTTAAATATATTTATTAATTTTATGTGTATGAGTGTATTGCCTGCATGTATGTGAGTGCACCCGTGTGCGCGGAGGTCAGAAGAGGGCTTATGGATTTCCTGGAACTGGAGTAAGAATGGTTCATAGCCGCCATGTGGGTACTGGGAATTGAACCTGGGTCCTCTGCAAGAGCAGTCAGTGCTCTTAACCGCTGAGCCATCTCTCCAGCCCCACTAGGAACCTTTTAAGTCATGTGATATAGTGAACTGTATATTTGATCTTGGTCTTGAGTTCCTGAATACAGCTCCTAAAATCCTTGGAGTCTCTGAAATGAAATGTCTTTTGGTATGCTAGTGGCTAATAGCTTGCTATCTGCAGCTAGTTTCAGGATAGGGACTAGTCACCAGAAAGAGTAAAGCAGAACTTTAGAGGGTTAGTACTTTCAGACCCCACTCCCCCCAACTCCCTGGACAGAGGCACAAGGTTAAGTTGATCATCAATGGCTAAGATTTAATCAGTTGCACATGTATAACGAAATCTTCACAAAATTTAAAAAAGGCCAAGATCCATGGTGCTTCTGGATAGTGAAATACCTGGAGGGTCCTGCAAAAGTGGCAAATTAAGCCAGAGGAAGGGGATTGGGGAACCCTGATTTACAGTCAGTTATTCAGAAGTGTGAATAAAAACTAGCTGGGGTTTGTACCTGGCATCTAAGGTGGGCTGCAGTCTTGAGGACTGAGCCCTCAACCTATGAGATCTGATGCTATCTCCATCTAGTGTCAGAGTTTAATTGAGTTGAATTAGATGGCACCCAGCCGTGTGTGCTGCAAAATTGTTTGCTTGTCAGTGGGGAGAAAGCCCCACACTTTATGAGACTATAGAAAGAATGGTGTGAGAACAGGGGAAAAGTGGTTTCCTTCCAAGAGATAAGTACCTATGGCCTTAGTCCCATTATACAGAGATGGAAATAAGGTATTAAGCGTTTCAGTCCCTTATTTAGATTATACAGATACCAAGTGACAAAACTGGAATTTGAACCCTGGCATGCTCCAGGGAGGTTCAAGCTTCTAGCCACGAGAAGAAAGGACATGGTTTGGGTTCTCCAGCCTAACTTCCAAGGACAGCGAGCTAGGCAGCCTTTGGAAGACACTGTATTTACCCAGCGTGGCTTATTTGGACAGTCCTTGCTTTAGGTTTCAATTCTGGCACTACCACTGGACATTCTTACAGTCAAGACTGTTTGCCTTTTTATTTTCCTGCTCTTAGGTCAGAGTTGAGGTCAATCCAGAGGGTCAGCTGGTGATGTCACAGCTGATCACCCTCCAAGTCTGTGGCTTCAACACTATTGGGAACAGCAGTTCCTGGAGAGGAAGTGGAGGCCAGGGGGATTTCCATCTAGTTGTCATAGCTCAGAGGAAGAGTTCTATGCTTTTGGCTGAGGGGACCTGGACTGAATTTGAAGGAGTAAACCCTCTTGGGGGAAAAGACTCAAACCCCAACCCTAGATGCCAAGTTAGACTGACAGTGGAACAGTGGGCACAAAGCAAAACTTTGCATGCCTTTCATGCCCAGTCGGAACCCAGCACACTGAGGGACTTTTTCTAACTGCAAACCAAGGCTTAGAAGAGAAACTAAGGGGTACTTAGAGAGTACCTTGAGGTACTCTGTAAATGCAAAGTGGTGCTTTCATCTCGGGAGCTTACAACCAAAGAGCATTTCTTATTAAGAGTCAACACCCCTTGGAATTGTCTTTACAGGATGGGTTTTTGGCCCTCATTTGAGCTTCATCTTCCTTTGGCAGCTTGACACCCTTTCTCCTGGATGCTCAGCACCAAAGTCTCTCCCTCTGAGTTCTCTGGTCTCCAGGACACTCTTCCAGGAAAGACGACCATTGTCTTTCATTCAGTAACATGGATGCTCACTTCCATGCAAAAAAAAAAAAAAAAAAGAAACTATAGGGAGGCCTCACTAAACAACTAGGCCGATTTATTAAATCTCCTTAGACAGTGAAATGGATGTTTACTAGAGAAGCAATGAATCGCATATGTTGGAAAGCTTTCTTCAGAGGGAAGCCTAAACTGCTTTTTATATATTGAAACAGCCATGAAGCCACCAAGGTTACAGTTTACACAGCTGAAGACCAAGTGGGGAATGGCTACATGTGGGAAGGGAGAGTGCTGGTTCTTATTGTCCTGCTGGTCTTCCCTTTATATTACATATTTATTGTTGTTGTGCTTGCTAATTATACAGCATGGGCACATGCATTTGACTCAGCCAAATAGGGCTCTTAAACTTGTAATATCATCCAACTAGGAATTTAAGAACCCTAATCCATCTACTCCTGTCCATTACTCAGAATGCCAGACAAATATGGTTTTGCTCAGCCTGAGATGGACGATAAAAGCTCTGTCGTGTTTATAAAACATGATCCCAGCTTCATAGAGCAGCAGGAGTTCCATATCATTGCTCATTTGGTATTGGTGTCTTGGATCCCAGGGCAATGTCATTAAACGATGGTATCTTCATGACTTCCTTATGGGAAGCAGAGAAACCACTTTAATAGAGCGCTATTTATAAACAGGGAGCTCACAGGAAATAGAAACTTCTCCCTTCCACTCCTCACTCAGTCCTCTCTCAAAACACTCTGTAGGTTTGATACAGAGCAGCCCTTCTGGGTTTCTTCCTGGGTTTTCTTACTAAGCTTTCCTGGGTGTCCATGGCATTTGAGAAAATTCAATTTCTAGTTTCAATTAAATGATAGGCTATTGATGAGAATATTTTTCTTTGGAGCCCTATGCAGAGTGTACATGAGGGTTGCTCTGTCACAGTGACAAATGTGACTGTTTGAAGCTACCTCTGCCCTCTGTCTGAGAGACCTGGGGCAAAGTTCTTCACCATTCTAGGCCTCAGTTTTGTCCTCTGTAAAATGGAGGATAACAGCACCTAGCTCATAAGGTTGGCATGAGAATTGAGACCATAAAGATTTTAGCATATAATAAAAACTCAATAAATAGTACCAGTGCATTCAACAAATACTTAGTCATCACTGAGTGTGCCTACCACTGTTAAAACTGCTGCAGATTAAGTGGTGGTGGTATAGCGACCAACCTCCTCCCCTGAAGTATGTAATCCCATGGAGGAGACAGGAAAAAGTAAACAAAAATGTGCTCTTAATGTTGTTGTTTGGGCTTTAAAAAGTTTAAGTTACATTTACTTTATTTGTGTGTGGAGGGTTGGTCTTCAAATATTTTTAAAAATTATATGTATTTATTTTATTTGTATGTGGGGGGCATGTACACATGATGCAATTGTGGAGGTCCAGAGGGCAATTTGTGGGAGTCAGTTCTTTCCTTCTACTACATGGGAACGTTCCCAGGGCTCAAACTCAGGTCGTCATGCTTGGTGGCAGACACCTTTACCTGTTAAACCACTTTGCCCACACATTTAAAAAAAAAAAAAAAAAGGTTTAGCTGGGCATGATGGCACATGCCTTTAATCCCAGCACTTGGGAGGCAGAGGCAGGTGGATCTTTGTGAGTTCCAGGCCAGCCTGGTCTACATAGTGAGTTCCAGGACAGCTGGGCCCACGAGGAGACCCTGTCTCAAAGACAAAAAAAAAAAAAAAAAAGTTTATTGCATTATTCATTTTATTACTATGTGTTATTTAGTCTTTGAGACAGGCTCTTATCATGTAGCTCAGGCTAGCCTCTAACCTATGATCCTCTGCCTCAGCCTCCCTAGTGCTGGGATTACATATCTGTGTTACCATGCATCAGTATGTATTGTTGTTTTGTTTTGTCTGTTCTGTTCTGTTTAGGACATGATAATGAGAATAGGTAGGGATAATTTCAACAATAGTCAAGGAAGGCCTCTCTGAAATGTCATTAGTAATAGCCAATAATATCAATACTACTATCTGAA